TTTTTTTTTAAAGTGCTTAAAACGTAAATAACAAGCTCTTTATAAACATTAGTCGCAACTCTTAAAACATGAGACACACAGAACCCACTTCCTGCGGACGTGAAGAACAGGGAAACCAACAACTCCAAAAACCCTGACACTTCTCCCACCTGGGGATGTTTTTCCAGGTTTTTAACCCCAAACACGGCTGAGTCTAAGTCACACCGGAGAATCCACATCCCTTCGGCTTTGTTCCAGTTTGAGGATAAACCCTGGTGGTTCTTCTGGCCCACGGGTGGCCAGGAGGACCAGGCAAGGGGAAAAGAAATCATTGGCCAAAAGACTTGAGAAGCAAAAACCTCAACTGTGGGCTGACAGCAAAGGCAGAACACAGCACCCTGCTGCAGCCTCGTGGAAAAATAAACTCCAGGAGAAAGGCAAAACCACGGGGAATTGTCATGGCTGTGTTGAAAACAGAACAGGGAGAAGCTGCTGCTGGCCCAGGGAATCTTTGGGGCTCAGCAGAGAGGGGCAGAGCTGAGAGCACAGCCAGGACACGGAGCATCCCAAAGAAACCACTCAATAGGAGATTCAGTCACTAAACACGGAGATAAATCCCACATGGGCAACTTGAGAACATTTCCCCAGTTCTCCTCCTCATCCCCTCCCTCTCTGAGGAAGCCTTTGGGCCCTCAAAAGCATTGCCCTGGGAACGAGAGGTTCAACACCAACACTACGGACTCCACCCCAGGGCTGCTGCGCTGCTCTTGTGCACAGAACAAAACCTGCGGTGAGAGGGGGATCCCCAGGGAGGGGAACAGAGAACAGAGACAGGAACATCTGTAAGAAACCTTTCCCAAACACGAGGAGGGAGCTCTGGGCTGCTGAACAATCGGGGACAGGCGTGAACATCCATCACTGCTCCACTCTCCTGCAGCTCCAGCACCAAGGGCACACCTCGGATCCTGGAGGTGGGAGGGACAGGGAATGCTGCAAACAGGAGATGGAAGGAGCAGGTACTGCTGGAAAGGCTGGAGAGAACAGGAATTGCTGGAAAGGCAGGAGATGAGGGAATAGAACAGGAATTCTTGGAAAGGCAGGAGACGATGGAACAGAAATTGCTGGAAAGGCAAGAGATGAGGGAATAGAACAGGAATTGCTGGAAAGGCAGGAGATGAAGGAACAGGAATTCTTGGAAAGGCAGGAGATGAAGGAATAGGAATTGCTGGAAAGGCTGGAGATGAGGGAATAGAACAGGTATGGCTGGAAACAGGAGATGAGGGTACAGGTACTGCTGGAAAGGCAAGAGATGAGGGAATAGAACAGGAATTCTTGGAAAGGCTGGAGATGAAGGAATAGGAATTGCTGGAAAGGCTGGAGATGAGGGAACAGGTACTGTTGTAAAAACTGGAGAAGAGCAATCAGGAATTGCTGGAAAGCCAGGAGATATGGAAACATTTACTGCTGGAAAGGCTGGAGATGAGAGAACAGGAATTGCTGGAGAGGCTGGAGATGAGGGAACAGGAATTCTTGGAAAGGCAGGAGATGATAGAACAGAAATTGCTGGAAAGGCAAGAGATGAGGGAATAGAACAGGAATTTCTGGAAAGGAAGGAAATGTCGAGGCACCTACTGCTGAAAGGCAGGAAAAGAGAGAACAGGTATTGCTGGCAAGGCAAGAGATGTGGAAGCACCTATTGCTGGAAAAGGCAGGAAAAGGTGGAACAGGTATTGCTGGAAAAGGAGATGAGGGAATAGAACAGGTATTGCTGAAAACAGGAGATGTGGAAGCACCTATTGCTGAAAACAGATGTGGAAGCACCTATTGCTGGCAGGGCTGCACACCTGGCACAACCTGCTGAGCTCTGAGAGTAACTTTTGATATTCAAGTGCAAAACATTGAGGCTTTCGGAGCAAAACAAGGCAGAGCTGACTAAGGCAGAGGGGGCTGAGGGAGGCGGTGAGACACGACGGGAGAGGAGGGAGAGGTGGGAGGGAGGTGCCGTGGGATCCGTATAAACATTGGCACTTGTGTGGGGAGCACCAGCACCCAGCCCGGCAGGGGCACAGGGCCAGGAACAGGATGTTGGTGTGCACTGGGGGACAGAGAGGGGCCCTGGTCCCCCGGGGGAGATGTCGGCTCTGCCCTCCTGAGGAATTCCTCTCCCTTTTCCCAGCAGCCATTCCCTGCCCTGCTGCATTCCCAGGGCTGCATTCCCAGGGCTGCATTCCCACTGCTGCACTCCCAGTGCTGCATTCTCAGTTTTGCATTCCCAGTGGCCACAGCTCCTCCCTGCCTGCTCACTGGGCACCCACAGAGCTGCCAGGCCATGGCACCTGATCCCACACATTCCTGGCATTTGCTGAAATGGCACAAACTCCTTCCCCTGGCCACTCCCAGCCCACTCCAGAAGTGCAGGAGGAGCAGAAGGTGCAGGAGGAGCAGCTGGGGCAGTGCAAAGCCTCAGGTATTTCCCACGAGGAGAGTGCAGGGAGCAGTGAGAGGTTCATGGCTGGTGCTCTCCCAGGGAACAAATCCTCCTCCTGCAGAGCTTGGACAGGACCAGAGCTCCTTTTCTCCTCACCCTGTCTGTCTCCAGCTCTATTTTATTTCGGGATACTCAGCCTGCCCTTCCCTGCTGTGTCAGCTCCTGATCTCTGCCTCCACTCCTCCTGAGCTGCTCTGCACAACTCCCGGGAGAGCCACAGGTCGGGGGAGGCTCTGCTGCCTCTGGGTAACAATTAACTCCCTTTTCTTGGATGAGAGGGAAAACAGAGGAGGAACCTGCCTCAGGCAGGTTGTGTGGGACTGAGAGTTGGATTTCAGAGCCTTTTTGGGGTAGGGAACTGCTACTGGCCTGTGGCAAAAGGCACCATTCTTCAAAGTCATGGTCTGTACTGAAACAAGGCAAGAGAAGAGCAGGGAGGTTTTAAAAGAACCCAGAAGCTTTGGGAGATAGAGAAGAGGGAGAAGATAACTTTCATGTTGAAATCCCACTCCAGCTGCCCCTCTGCCTGCACAGGCACCTTCTCCAGCCAAAATCCTGGCAGGATGAGGGAGGGAACAACATCCTTCCTATCCCCTTCCCCAGCACCTCCAGATCAATCATTCCAGGTAAATCAGAGCCCTTTGGGTGGTCACTCCGGGGTCAGCAGTGGCCAGAGCTGCCCCTGAGGCTGGGTCCCAGCCCTGGAGAGCTGATCTCAGCCCTGGAGAGCTGATCCCAGCCCTGGAGAGCTGATCCCAGCCCTGGAGATCTGATCCCAGCCCTGGAGAGCTGATCCCAATCCTCGAGAGCTGATCCCAGCCCTGGATGTGCCCAGGGGCAGCAGGGTGGGCACTGCCCTGCCCAGGAGAGCCCTGTGAGGATTTGGGAATTGTGGGCTGGGCCAGGAATGTTTGGGGTGCCTGAGCCCACAGGGGCCCTGCAGAGGGGTCAGAGCCCCCAGGCCCGGCTCTGGGGGTGTTTTCCTGCTGTGCTGGGACAGGTGAAGCAGAGGCAGGGCGGGGCAGCCATTCCTGGGAATACTGGGTGGAAATTCCGTGTGGATTCCTCTCTGGAATGGTGGGGGGGGATGCAGAGGATCTCCTGGGCCACGATCCCAGCCCGGCCATGGCAGTGTCCCCCTGGCACTGGTGCTGTGACAGGGCCAGCGTGGCCCAGGCAGGCTCTGACACCCCCCAGGCCCCCAGACTCTGGTGCTGTCCCTTTGTGCAGCGTGTCCCTGTGCTCAGGGAGTGGCACCAACTGCAGCTGCCTCTCCACCCTTCCCTGGGGGAACTGGGGCACCAGGGGAGGAGGAGTCTGAGTGTCCCCAGTGTCACCCACCAGTGCAACACCATCCAGCAGCCAGGGGACAGAGGAGGAGGAGTGTGGGCAGAGCAGCAGCAGCAGCAGGATGAAGTCACTCACGGGGAGATGGTTTCCAGCTCTCACATGTCCATGGGTCATTAAAGCTCTGGCAGGAGTGATGGCCCAGGGGGTGGCACTTGGTCACAGCACGGGAGCCTAGGGTGGCACTGCCTGGTGGGGAGGGCTCTGCTCCTCCCCAGAGGGTGCTGGCAGCCCTTCACCCTGCAGCTGCCCCGAGCTGGGCTAAGCTTGGGCTGGGGTGAGCAGAGTTAGGAGCCCTTCGTGCTAACTCTGGCGACAGGAGGAGCCACTGGAGCCTGGGGTGAGAGCAGGGGGTGCAGGGGTGTTGGCAGCGTGGTTACTGGGGCACAGCTCTGCTGCTCACGATTCTCAGGGGGCCTGGGCAGGCTCAGGGGGCCTGGCCCCCTCCCAGAGGGATCTGCAGCAGCGTGGGGGACTGCTCCATGATGCGCACCAGCAGCTGGTCGATGTAGTTCTCCAGCTCCTGGATGTGCTCCTCCTTCTTGCTCAGCTCGCCCTCCTTCTGCAGCAGCAGCTGGATCAGCTCGTCGTGGGTCAGGTGGTAATACCTGGCTGCCTGGTCAGGCTGGGCAGGCTCCTGCTGGGAACCAAGAGGGAAAACAGGCACTGGAATTAAAACCCCTGCTGCTGGTAATGTCTGCAGGATGCAGCAACAGCCAGAGCAACTCCTGCTTCCCATGTGGAGAGGCAGGAGCAGCACAGGGGACCCACAGAGAGCTGGTGTGCTCACACAGCACCACTGACCTGCCTGAGCACCCCCAGGGCTTCTGAGAGCTGCAGGGCTGTGCTGGTCCCTCACCCAGCTGAGCCCCAGCAGTGTCTTCCATGTGACACCGGGGAGGGAAATGCAATGGGAGCGGACAAAGGGATGGAGGAGCCACGCTCAGAACACCCTGTGTGTCCTCAGAGGTGTCACAGGTGCTGTGCTGGCCCCAACACAGCAGTGTTTGGAGTACACCCAGCTCAGGAAGGAGCTTCCCCCTGGCAGGCCTAGGAACCCTTCAGGGCATCAGTCAGGCAGCTCCCACCGTCCCTGCCCCGTGGGGACCAGGCTGGACACTGGGGCTTGGAGCAGCCTGGGACAGTGGGAGGCGTCCAGGGGTGGCACAGGGTGGGCTTTGAGGTCCCTCCTAACCCAACCCAAGCCATTCCACGTTTCTACCAGCAGGGATTCACTCACACACTGCCCAGCAGCAGCCCCAAACCCAAGCAGGTGATGGGAGAACGATGCAGAGCCCAGGGGCTCATGGCAGGAGGGAGGCACAGCAACCACAGGCCTGCACCCACACACACACACACACCCCCATGGCAGGACCCTGCTCTGCCTCCCCCCCAGCACACCTGGGGCAGGTGTGGCACAGCCTCACAAGCCTTTACCTTGGGCTCGCTTTTGTCCAGGTGGGTGGCCGGGAGCAGGGGCTGGACGCTGCTCGTGGTCGCTGTCTTCAGCCTCTCCAGGCCATTGGTGAGGGCTGAGCCCAGGCTGGCCCTGGGCTGCTGCTGCTTCCTGTCGCTGGAGCCCTCCTGCACTGCGCTCAGGGGCTTCACGGGGTGGGGGCTGTGGGCAACAAGGGGGGCACGATCAGCACCCCCAGTGTCCCTCCTGTCACGGCACCAACCTGGAGACTGAGCCCCCGTGTCCGAGCTGCTGCCAGCAGGGCAGGGCAGAGCCCTGGGAGCTGCTCCCACCCCCACGGGAGATAAGGAGCCCCAGCACGGGTGTTGGGCTGAGATAGAGGTGCCCACACGGCCCATCCTGACTGGGAACGCTGTGGGGAACAGCTCCTGCCTGCCAGGGGCTCAAACACAGCTCCAGGCTGAGCAGAGGCTGCTGCAGCCACTGCCCAGAGCAGCTTTTTGCTGCACACGAACCCCCAAATGAGTCTGGGGTCACCAGCTCCAGCCCAAGAGTTGAATGTCACCTGCCTGGAAGCCACCACAGGATTTGTCCTCCCTCCAAAAGGGAGGAATTACATTTTCATTTGTTTTTGCCTCACTTTTCACCCAAAAGGTTCTTTATGGGATTGAACAAAGTCCAGTTCCTTCTGGACATGATGGAAAGAGAAGTGACCTGATGCTCCCTCCCTGCAAGGAGCTGGGACCATCCATGGGGATGGAAACATCCAAACATTGATCCATGGGGATGGAAACATCCAAACTTCCATCCATGGGGATGGAAACATCCAAACCTCCATCCTTGGGATGGAAACATCCAAACATTGATCCATTGGGTGGAAACATCCAAACGTCCACCTGGGAGCTCTGCAGACCCTCTCAAGGATGACAACCCCACCAGCTGTGTCCCAGCTGTGCTGTGTCCTCGTTCCTCGTCCATGGTGGTGGCATCAGGACATGGCAGGGGTGTGCAAATCCTCTCCAAGCACGATGATGCCTCCTGCTGTCCCTGTGCTGGGAGGGGACAGTGCTGGCAGCCACCAACCTGCTCCAAGCAGCCAAAGGATCAGCCCCTCCGAGGGGCAGCACAGGGGCAGCTCTCATCTCTTCCCTCTGGTGCCCAAGTGAATGCTGGAGCTGTGCCAGGGCATGGTTAGTTTGGATTTTAGGGAAAGGTTCTTCCCTCCCCCAGAGGGTTTGGGCACTGCCCAGGCTCCCCAGGGAATGGGAACAGCCCCACAGAGCTCCAGGAGAGTTTGGACACCAGGGATTTTGGGGGGTCTGTGCAGGGTCTGGGGTTGGATGGATGATCCTGAGGGTCTCTCCCAGCTCAGGACACTCTGTGATTCTCTGATCCCTTGGCTGTCCAAGCCCAGGGACAGAGCCCAGGATTCCTGGGCAGCTGGAAAGGATGGAGAGGATCCCAGAGCCCTGAGGTGCAGTCAGTGACAGTGCCAGGGGCTGCAGGAGCTGCTGCTCTGCTCATGAGGCTCCAGCTCTGCCCACTGGGACTAAACCCTGACCAGGACACTGCAGGACAGGGGTGAGGGGACAGCTGGAGCCACCAGGGCTGCCCATCACAGCCAGGCCTGAGCCCCAAATGTCACTGTCACCTCGTGCATCCCCACAGCCAGTGCACAGCATGGCTGGGAACCTCCCTGGGACCAAGCTGGCCTGGGAAGCCTTCCTGAAATGGGAAAGTCTGGATGTGTTTGAAAGCAGGGGGATGTTCCCAGCCAGGTGTGGTCACAGGCAGCTGCTGGCCCCATGGCCAGTGGGAACAGCCACTGCTGCAGGGCTGGAAAAGGAATTTCTGAAAAGAAATCCTCATCATCCTCATCCTCCTGCTGCTTCCCACTGAGGGGGGTGCATGCAGGGCTCTGCCTCCTCTCTTTGTCTCTGGGAGGATCCAAGGGCTGCAGGACATTCCTGGAGCTGGGCTTGTCCTGGGATGGTGGCACCAGGTCCTTCCAGGGGAGCTCCACACCTCACAGCCAGACCTGAAGTCCTGATGGACCTGCCAGAAGAAGCTGGACCAGTTTCCTCTCCTGGTCCACGAACATCAGCTCGAGTGTGGAATCAGCTGCTCACAGGATCCCAGCTGCATCCCAAGTGGATCTGAGCTATGATGAGCTTAAGGCCAAGGGGGAACTTCTCAGGGTGACACTGGCTCTCTGAGCCAGCCTTGCCCTGTCCCAGCTCCCACTGGTGCTCCCAAGTGAGGCAAGGAATTGAAGAGTAAGGAATAGCTCATCAAAAACCATAACAATGAGGAATTGAATTTAACATTTACCATGCTTGCAAAAATCGGGAGGAAAGGCAAACTGCTTTGTGATAAATGGAGCCAGAACTTGCAATCAGGGTGAGGGCAAGGCTACCAGTGATAAGTGAGAAATCCAAAACCCTAAACCAGCAAGAACTAATCTCAAAGTCCAGAATGTGCCCAAAGGGCTGATGCTCCCTTGTCCCAGCAGCCACACAAGGTGACCAAAGAGCCTCTGGCCACTTGGGAAGGGCCCAAACCCACTCCCAGGTTCCAGCTCTCCTGAGGAGGCACTGAACCCCCTGACCCCAAACTCTGAGCATCCCACACCAGGTACCCACTCCCCTTCACCTGCAGACACTCTCGTCCCAGCCAGGGTTTTAATGTCCATTCCAAATTTGAACTTTTTCCTTTCTCCTTCCACCTCTTTTCTACCATCTTTCCATCTATTTGCCTCTGGCCATTCCAACAGGAGATGATCCTGGGAAGCATCACCGTGGGGATTGGGAAAAGATCCTTTCCAGCCTTTCTCCTTCAGCCTGGGACAGCTATCACATCTCCCCAGCCCTGCAGAGCAGTTCAGAGGCCTTCAGTCACAGCAAATATCCAAAATGGGCACAGGAACCCGAGCAGGGGAGTTCCAGGCCCTCCTGGCCATGTATCACAAAAGCCAGCACTGATATCCAGGATTATCCAGCTCCTGGATCTGAGCCCATTCCATCCCAGGAGCCAGCCAGGCCTGGATGGATGCACAGGCAAGGCTGGGGATGACCACGAGCAGGTACCACCAACACAGAGATTCCTGCACTTCCCTCACTGCCTCAATTGTCCCTTTGGGATCACAGGACACTTCTCTTTCCATGAAACATAACAAAATTCCTGTTTCTCCGCAGCATCTCTGCAAATTTTGAAGAAGGCTACCTGCTGGAGGATGAATAATCCAATTGAAAATGATTGGAGGATCTGGCCTAAATAAGAAGAAGAAATTTCACCTGCCAGAGGCAGCCAGATGCTGGTCTTTGCTCCCAACATCACTTTGCACCTCGTGCTCCACCCAAGAAGGGATCCCCTTGTGGAAGGAGCTCCGTGAGTTCTGCTGGCCCCATCCTCCCTCCCCTCCTCTCCCCAGGGCCACAACCAATCTTGCTGTGGGGCAGGTGGGATTTCAGCACTTCGGTGCCCCCAGGAAGCTCCATTTGCCTCACGACCAGTGAGGCTGAGCAATAAATCCCTGCTGGAGCTTGGTCCTCGGGCTGGCAGAGCCCAGGCAGAGCCAGGGGAAGGAGCACCAGGAAAATGAGATGAACTGAAGGACACAGAGCAAGACTCCGTGCCCTGAACTCAGCAGCTTTGCCTCATGGCATTTGTACAGACCCACAACTGAGCTGGGAGGAGGAGCAGCCCCTTCTTTGCACCCTTCCCATTCCCACCAGCCCCAAGGCTAAATCCCCACTTGCTTCATCACCAAGGGCATCTCGACAGGAGGGAGGGGAGAAGGGCATTCTGCCCCCGGGGAAAAAAAACTCTCATTTTTTTGGCTCTGGAGAGAAGGAGATTTTCAGTACCCAACGGGCACTTGAAAGGAAAGCAGCCAAAGCTGAATGGATGGCAAGGGCAGGGGCAGCAGCTGTGCACATGCCATGAGGGAGCTCAGGAGAGCAGGAACAGCCACAAGCTCTCCTGGCAGCCACGGGAAAGGCATTATTTATTCTGCAAGCACGGGCAAGATGATGGAACCAAAATCAGCGCTGAGTGAAATGTGGGTGCAGCTCTGAATTTCCAGCTCGTGGGTGCACGGAACCCTTTGGGACACACCAGGACACCAATGGCCATCCCCCCACAACATCCCAGAGAGCGCCAAGGCACCCAGCAGCTCCGGCTGGGCTCTCTGGGACCAGGGAAGAGGAGCTGCAGCATCCTTGGAGCGAGCCCAGCTGGGTGTGGAGCCCTGCGAAGAGCAGAAGCACCCAGGGCTCACCTTTCCCACACAGACACACCCTTCACCTTCCCCCGCAGTGCTCACCTGGTTGTGTGCTGCCCAAGGGGCTCCTCAGCCGGCCGTGTCTCCCTGGGCACAACCAGGAGCGCTGAAGCTTGTGCGTCCCGGGGCTGCGGGCACGGGCAGGGCCGGGCGGCGGCGCGGCTGGCACGGACCCCCGCGGGCTCCCGGGAGGGGCCACACGGCTCGGGGTTAGTGGCAGCCACGAGGAAAGGGGTGGAGAAGGCCAAGGGCTGGCTGGCATGCAGGGGGGAAGCGTTAGTGGGCTGCAAGCCGTGCCCGGGGGCTTCCTCCTGCAGGCTGCAGTGGAAGCCGGAGTCGCCCCGCTCAAGCTTTGCGGGCAGCACAGCTTGGATAGGGACAGGGGCTGGGGGCTTCTCCGTGAAGGGATTGCTGGGGGAAATGGGGCTCAGTGCCAGGGTGAAGGGGTTTCTCAGGGCTGTGTGCCTCTCCTCTGCCCTATCTGGCTTCCAGAAATCGGCTTTTTTGAAGTCTATCCTGCTCTCTGCCCAGTGCCCCTCGGGCTCCTCTGCCTCCTCGGGAGGGGCACGGGGCTGGGGCCGCTCTGCTGCTCGCCCCTCACCATCCTCACATGGCAGCTCCAGCTGGGATGGACTCTGCCCACGTTCTGACCTTTGGGGCTGTGGCTGTGGCTGCCCAGCTGCCTCCTGCTCTTCCAGAGCCGTCCAGCTGCCTGGCTGGCCCAGCTCTAGCTTGGGAGGTGGCTTTAGTCCCGGAATACTGAGCTCCTCAGGGAACAGCTCCTGCTTGGGGGCCATTTCCCACTTGGCGCCGTCTGCGGCCTCCTGTGTCTGAGGGGATAAACGGGGCTGGCTCCAGCTCTCCTCAGCACCCGACTGCTCCAGTCCATCCAGGGACAGCTTGGATGTGCAAGTCTCAA